GATTGACCCATAAGATTTTTCACCTTAGTGTTTTTTTCAATTAATATATAGAGGATTTTACACCAACAATCACATTCACTAAGCATCAAGCATATCCGAGAGTATTTCACTAAGGAAGGTTAACAGTGAAGGCTACCTCTCTTGATTTGATGCAATATCTCATCAATTTACATATGCATGAGATGCATTTAGATGGTTCAAGCACCATGTACGTGTGATTTTTGACCTGAGGTCCAACTATGTTTCATTTTGGGATTGATGGATATGTCATGTTTCGCCAATTTAACATTTAATGTTTTGATGAGATCATGGGAATAACAATCTAATATATGATGATAAGAATATCTAAGATAGATAAGATATGGGATCAAGCAAATAAGATATGAATAGGGTCCTCTATAACAATTTTAGGCCGGGGATTGTAGTGATGGAAATAGTTAATGAAGAACAACTTATAATTATTCATCATCCAAAATGCAACTTTTATAGATTTCCGAATGACCTGCAATAATCAAACTCTCATCTTTTACCAAACCAGACCGAATCACAAGTCATTCAACAGGCAAATTCTCTGCTTCATATCTGACCAATTCGAACAATTTAGTCGATAAATAACGTTCTCCTCCACTGGGAAAAATCACCTACGAATCAGACGAGAACATGGATAGTTAATAAACTCTGTTTCATTTCAATTTAAGCCAAAGCTTATGGTTAGTCAGGGACAAAGCTTGTGATCAGACAGAGTCAAAGCCTTACCGCAATGAGTTTCCCTGCGTTTTCTGGCCGCTTTGCAACCTTTAAGGCAGCAGCTGCTGCAGCCCCAGAGGATATTCCAACCTAGCAAATGAATGAATTGGTATATATATAATTTTCTGGTTTTATACCGACAAAAGTGCATTAACCGATTGTACCAGCAATCCTTCCTTGAGAGCAAGAAGCTTGGCTGTTTCAATGGCTTCCTCACTTGTCACCTAAATCAAAAGATTGCATATCTCAGAATATATTGTTATAACGATCGAGAAGTAGATAATCTTGGCTACTTACTTGAATGATTTCATCAACAATGCTTAAGTCCAAATTGGTTGGGATGACACCAGGGCCAATTCCTTGGATCAAATGTGGACCTACATAAAGAACCTGTGTTATGAATATGATTAGAGATCAATAACTTAGACATGAAAATCTATCTTGTTTGTTTCCTCACCTGGTTCTCCTCCACTCAATACCGCACTTTCTGTTGGTTCAACCACACAAACCTGTTGATTAAGATTGTAACGGTATTATTATTATTATCACCTTAGTGCAACTATTTAATCTCTTTAAATTTTTTAATTTGATTGGCTTAAAACTATGACATGTATAGAGAAAATGAAGACATATCTTAAGGAAAATGATGACATATCTTAAGGAAAAGGATAATCTCTTTAATATAGTATTTTCTTTGCTAATAGTGTATTTTATAATTTGAAAAAAACAAAAAATATGGAATATCTTAATTAAAGATGTGGTTTAAAAGCGCAAAAGTTAAATATTTTAGATAGGTTTAGATATATAAATATTTTACTTTATCTGATACAATGATTTTAAAATCTATTTTCTTTAATAACCGAGATGCAAGTACTGATGAATGTGAATATCTAACATTTGATATATGGTTTTGGGGATTGAACAACACAGGGCCCGATGATGTGATGAAACATTATCCTTTTCTACCTCTATTCAAGTTGTATGTTTTGCTTTTTTCCCTTCTGGAATCGGTTTAGCTAAACTTCGATTCACAATTTTCTGGACAAAGCTGTTTTATTTTCAAATTTATCAATTCTTAAATTTTCTATTTAAAGTAATTAATTTTAAACTTTATAATAAAGCTTTTCGAAAGATTTGTAATCCCCTTTTATATTTTTAGTTTCATTTCCAAATTATTTTCTTCTAAGATATTTATCCAGCTAAAATTATCAGAATTTTATTTTTAATTGTGTTTTCTCGAATTTGATTACAAAATTGTAAGTTAAGGGCACATAAGCAATCATTACACCCTAATACCCTTCAATCACTATTTGAAGCAACAGTGTCTTGATGAAAACTTTAATTCACAGAAAACGTATTGGTTTGTTTATAGGTTTTGCTTTAAATAAACTTTCGCCATCTATTGATAGGTACACGTGATAAGCTTCAAAAAATTAAAAAGGAATTTTCAAATGAATTTTCGATAATTTTTTTAAAAAAAATGAATTTTTGATCCTTTATAATTCTAAACTTATAAGGAGGGTTTGACCCTAGCAAACTTTAAACCCTCAAAATTAAACTCTAC